AATATAGGAAGGGAGAGAAATTAAAAAACATGCTATTTTTGTGCAGCTGAAAGCTAACTTTTAGTTTGCCTAAGTGCATCTTTTTTTAATTTCTTAATTGCAGGTTACCATTCCCCAATTAGTGATCAAGAATTGAGGTATATCTATTTAGTTATAGCGGCACTTTCAATTAGATAGTGCAATTGTGCAGAGTTGAACTTAGATTTGAAAGCAGAAGTGTAATTAGAGCAGTAATGTACCTAAAGAGGGGTAAAGCTTCCAATTTCCATGGCATCCATTCGCAGCAACAAATCCAATCATGGAAGTGCAGTGTACAATTTATGATCAACACATTTTATCAGATTTATATTGTGTATCGATCATCTATAACATGTTATAGATGCCGAAAGTTATAATTATTTTTTTTAACACATTTTAGTTTTGTAACATTTTTTATCACGTCATATTCAACACAAGTCAATTATTGTAATTATCGACAGTCATTATGTGCATTGTAATGACTTACGATAGTTACTATAATTACTGAAATAATCTGACGTGACAATAATATAAAAAAAATAGTGTTCTGTCTTTTTGATACTTCGTCTTTTGACATGATATTTATTTTTGCACAAATATTTAGAAAATATTAACAGGGTACCTTATAGTTATTGAAAATGTCATCCTGATGAATAGAATAGAGATAAGTCTATCTTAGTAAGAGTTTCCAAGGTTATTATAGTTAAGTCTTTATTTATGAGAGTTTCAAAAGTAATTTATTTTAAGTATCTCTTTATGAGTTCCAAAAGTTATTTGGTATTATTCTCTTGAACAGGAGAGTTTCAAAAGTCTAATAATGTGTTTTAAGTCCCTTATGCAGTTATCTTTTGCTGATATACTTTTGGCACATTCTTTTGCGATAATGAATTGGAATCATTCCTTTGTTTGGTATGGAGTATTTGGGGGGACTAAATATATATATAAAAAAATGCTTGGCTCTTTATTATATATTTCCCAACTCAGACTGTTCAGTGGAGTATCATTTTTTTTATTAAAATATTTATAGTTTAAGCTACGTAAATTTCGTTAACCTCTTTAATTATAATTTTTTTCATGAAAGGGAAAAGTTAAAAGTTACCATTTGATAATAGTGATATTTTTATTATTGACCCCTTTAATTTAATCATAACTGTCCTTTTATTAAAGTAGATCAACTTAAACAAAAGGGGCAATATTGATTTTATATTAAATTTTAAGAGTTAATTCTAAAAAAAATTATTAATTATATTTTTAATGGCTAATTTATTCATAACCTCCTTATAAATATAATTTGGTTTATTCGATGTCTAAAGTATCAAATAGATTTTACATCTCATTTACCCAAGTTCTAAATTAATATTTAAGGGAATATTAGCCGTGTTTGAAATTAATCCTATTTTTATTTTTCACGTTTTTCGAAAAAGAAAAAATAAAAACGTTTTTAAAATGGCGTTTGGCGCAATAAAGATAAAAAACGGAAATGAAAATAATTTTTTGGTTTAGTGTAAAATGAAAGAGAAATGAAAAATGACTTTTAATCGTTTTTCATTTTTTATTTTTATTTTCCCCTCTCTTGAGCAAAAGAGAGAAAGAGATAGACATTAATATTTTATTTTACATTTAAAACAATCTCTTGATAATACTACCAAACGCATTTTCAAAAATGATTTCTGTCTGAGATTGAAAACGTTTTTATTTTCATTTTCATACAAAAAATAAAATTATTTTAAAACGAGTTCCAAACGCGCTCATTATTTCATTCGATATTTTTGAATTACATGTCTTGACCAATGTTCCGAGCTGTCCACGTACGTTACCATATTAATTATTTGAGATTAAAGTTAATCTGTAAATGGCCATCATAAATAGGATTTGATTATTTTCACGGAATTAGAAGCAATATTAGTTCTATTGTGAGCCAGTTCAGTGTATTAGGATTTGATAAGAATGTTTTATTCCTAACGCAAATAGACTATTAAACCATAACCTTACCAAAATGAGCGGAAATTCTAACTTTCCATGGAATTCCCTACCTCAAATTGATGTTGCTGCATAAAAGAAAAAGGAGAAGCAACTCTCTTCTTCCCTTTGGTGGGGCTCAACAGTAGAGAGAGAAGAGAGAAGGGAGGGAAGAGAGAAAAGCGTGAAGGAAATTTACTTTAAAGTGTTTTTTCATTTTCTTAACAAAATAAGAAAATAATTTGAATTGTTAGTAAATAATTAGATTGTTGTTTTTATTTGCTCAGTCATTTTTTCTTTGAGGTCTTTCTCTACAACACATTTACTAGGGTTTGTTATATTTTCTCGAGAGGGAGTGGCACACAAGTTAGTGCAGTGCATGGAGTGAGCAATGTTGGCTGGCGAGTCAGCATCGTGTTTAGAGGAGGCCAGATCTAGGGAAATAAGGTTGTGGCTAAAAGAACCCTACTAGAATGAGAGGAAGATGCGATCGGAGAAGATTCGCCTCAGCGAGTTTGGCTTGTGGCCGGTCATGGACAGGTGCATCGATTTTTTTTTCTTTTGTTTTTGTAAGATAATGGTGTTGCGATCTCCATCATACCAATGTTCTATCATTTACATGAGTTTTAACTCGTGTGACATCTAATAACAGAGGTAGTCTCACCACTCTATGATTATTTATTTATGTATAATTTGCCAGAGTTGTTTCCTTGCGATGTTTTGTTTGGCTTCTATTCTGCACGTCTATTGTTCTCGACCAATTGGAGTTTTTCTTCAACAGTCGAGGTGATGTTAAAAGAGCCGGTTGGATTTTGATTATTGGTGTGTCTTTAAATTTTCCTGTCATGGGAACTAGAAGCACAATCTTTACCTCTTTTTGCTTCATTACATTGTATTAGTGAAACTAATCTGTTATTAGGGTTAAGTGTCCTTATGTAATGAGGTTAGGTGGTGATTTACACATATAGTAAAATTTTGATAGCAAAGTTTAAATTTAGTAAGAATTTTGAAATATTACAAGAATAGCAAAATTTTATATCATTTTTATGCCATTCAAATAATGACTAAATCGTTATATATTACAAAATATGATATTATTATGATAATTACTATGTCATTTTTGCTATATTTATAATATTCTAAAAATTTTGCTAAATGTCAACTCAAGGTTTAAAATTTTGCCATCTAGTGTACTTACTTCCTAGATTATCCATAACCAAATTTTCTTAGGAGTCAATTAATTTCACACTGACCCAATTTGATACATTCATGATTTATTTTAAATTCCTAGGAAACTTCAAATTAAATACCTTAATAAGCTTATCTTTTACTCATAAATCTTCTTGTAAAATTAAAATGACCCCTTACTACGAATTATAAAGAATAATGAACATACTAGTCACTTACATTAAAAATTTTAACCCCTCAAAGAAAGAAAGTTTCTCTTCTATTTTCAACTTTACCGTCGGTTTTATATATCTTTTCAATCTTATGTGATTTTGATTAAATCTAACAGTCAGAAACTAATCATACCAATATACCACCTACGAAAAAGGTCTAAAAAAAGTCTCAGGTTCTTTTCAATCCTCGGGCGCACTTACCAGGTGTAAATCACGTGAACTCGACATTTGTTGCATGTCAAAACTATGCCGCTCAAGAAGAAAAATAGCACGCGCTTAAAGTGACGTACGTGAGTAAATTTAGCAGAGACATTTCTCTCTAAGTGTCTCTAAAACAGACTCAAATCCTCAATCTAATTTTAAAATTTTAATTGGTGTCTAACCAATTATATGATGTCAAATCATATAAAAAGTTTGAACTACTTTTTTTAAATAGAATTTAAATTGTTTTTTACCTATTTTTTTTTGCTTATCATGAATTGATGTTGTATGATCTGATTAGTTATATACTAATTAGACATAGAATCTGGATCTCTCTAAAACAAAGGCGTGAGTCTCCTTTTCTCAATCGGCTCCTTCATTTAATTAATTCTTAGAAATTCTCTCTTTGATCTGCCGCCATGGACGAAGAGTACGATGTCATCGTTCTCGGAACCAGTCTCAAGGAATGCATTCTCAGTGGCCTTCTTTCTGTTGATGGTTTCAAAGTAACTGATTATACTTTTCTGTTTATATTCTCGTGTTTTCATTTTTTGTTCATTTCTAGTTTCAACATTTGTTACTGGTTTTTTTTTTCCTTGGAAATTCTTGATCATTTTTTGTTTAAATCGAAGAGAATATTTGTAAGTGAATTTGTTTATTATTGTAGTCTCAGTACTTTGGGTTTGATTCCCCTAATGATCTTCCATCTAATTGCTTATTTGAGAGAGAGGGAAAAAATTTTTGATCTAATTATTTTTGTGATCGTCATTATTCAACTTACATATTGATATATAATTATAACGACAACTATAAATTAGCAGCAATTTTTGCAACAAAAATTACATATTTAACGTTAAAGAGATTTTTTGAACAACACTAAATTGTTTACTAATTAAAAGCAGGTGTTAATAATTCACTACCGTTGATAATTAGTAATTTTCTGATTTTGGTTGCTTTTATGATCAATTTGGTTTAAAATCAGCAAATATAGTACTAGTAAGATACCCTTTTGCTGTTTGTTTGAAACAGGTATTGCATATGGACAGAAATGACTATTATGGAGGGGAATCAACTTCTCTTAATCTTAACAAGGTTACTTTTATCACACCCTCAATCAGAACATTTGATAATTGCAAAACAAATATATATATATTATTCTAGTTTTCTTCTCTAATTTGTAATAATTAATTTCCTTTGGAAATTGATCTAATCTTTTTGTTGTGTACAGCTTTGGAAGCGTTTCAGGGGAAATGATCAGCCTCCCGAACATTTGGGCTCCAGCAGGGAGTACAATGTTGATATGATTCCTAAGGTATTTCATAGTTTCCAATGAATGAAAAATCTTCTTGGTGTTGAAAAGAAATTGTCGTTTTTACCAATCCTCCCACGAGTTTAAGCTATTAGCCTAATTAAAACGTGGGCAAACAATTTTATATTCTATTCTAGCTAAAAACAATTTTATATTCTAACACTGTGACTTTCTCTTCGAATTCTAGCGTTTGATAGAAAGAGCATGAATCTTAGAGATCAAAACACATTAAGGCCAACAGTACTTGAAAGCAATACTGAAGAGTTCAATCGCAGTGGCTTGAACTTTGGATCTCTTATTCTTATACCATATTAGTTTACCAATTCTATCATTTAAAAACCTAGGTTGTTACGAGATGGAACGCTAATAATTTTATGTTAAGTTATTTACACTGTTGGCCCTTGAGGATATGCACTTGTCTCACGTGAGCCACTAACATTTAGTTTTAGACGTCTAGCTCTCTTGAAGTTTTTGAGATATACAATTTTGGCCCTTTTGTTGTTAAAGTGTATTTCTGGACAAAATATAGCATGAAGATGGCTCGTAAGGATTTTAGAAAGGATAAAACCCTTTAAGAAATAAGCAGATCTAAAAAATGT